AGGAAGACCCCCAATGAGATGGATCAGACAGGTGGCATCATTGATGGACTCAAGTGTGGCAGCGGTAGTGAGGTTGGCCCAGGATCAGACATTGTTTCGTCTGCTGTGCATGGGGTCACTATGAGTCGGTTCTGACTTGATGGCACCTGACAACAACAACAACATCCTCTGTCTAGCCCAGTTCCTGGCCCTGGCCTTGTGTAGAGATGGCCTGTCCTGAACTGTAGATTTTTCAACATCCAGCGAGCTGTGGAAATGACAGGCATCTGTGTTGTACCAGCCACCCATCGCCGACCATGGAGCTTGGTGCCGCTGCAGGAGAGAGCAGAGCTACAACATCGTCACTTCAGGTGTGACTGAGTCTGTCGGTGGCTGTTGTATCCACATGGGGACAGCTTTCGAGATTCTGGGAGACAGAGAGACATTGCCTTTGTGAACAGTAGCAGCTGGCAGAGTGTCTGGGCCCCCTGGATGAACTTGCCACCAGCCGAAATGTTTCCACCAAAAACATCTTGGGTTCCCTGCAACCGTCATCACCTCCCACAGCAGCCTGACAGGACAAGGTCCTTGTGGTGCTGAATGACACCACAGGTTGAGTCCCTATGAGGAGACTTTGAGAAATACTGAGGGTGGGAGCAAACAAAGATGCAATCCCAGGTGAGTGGCAACCTGTAGTTCCCTTGTTGTGGACATGTGCCCCACCAGAGGTATCAGGTCACCCCATCTACTGAGAAGCCTGCCCACACTCCTTTGTTCCTCGAATCTCCTCGGCAGTCTCCTCCTTAGCATCCTCCCAGTTGTCCTAGCCCCGGCCAAATTGCCCCTACTGTCCTCATCTCCTGGTCCAAGCTGTGCTTGGATGAACAATGCCAGGTCCTTCTCTCTTCTCTGTCCCACCTCATACTTCATCTGTCAGCAAATCCCATCAGCTCTGCGCCCCCAGATCCACCTACTTCCCTGCCTCCCTCCCACGCCTTTACCTGGTTCAACCCCATCATTGCCCACCTCTGCCCTGGTCCCTGACTCCCACAGTCTGTTCCTCGTGGCAGCCAAAGGGCATGCATGAGCACAAGAATCAGGCCTGCCCTTCCTCTACAACCCTCCAGGGCTCCCACCTCCTTTGAGTCAAAGCCTGAATCCTCCCTGCAAGCCTTGTCCTCCCCTCCTCTCTGCCCCTCACTCACGCTTTGCTGTTCCTCCAACTGTCAGAACCTTTGCACGGGCTGTTCCTTTGCTTGGTCGGCTTTCTCCAGATATCCCAGGATTCCTCTCCTCACATCCCTCAGGACCAACTATTTAAAACATCAAGTGTACCCCATCAAGGATACATTCTGGTGTCTTCCCTTTGTTCTTGCCACAGCTCCTGACACCCCACACCCTAACTTAACTGTTGTCTGCCTATCCTGCCAGTTCCCGAGGCACCTGGGTCTGTGCCAAATTCTGGGCTGGACCCAGTACTGGCCAGGGGTCAGTTTGTGACAGGTATCCTGGCTCACAGCCTTGTCCTGGTGCCCTGAGATATCAGTCAAGCGTGTCCACCTGCCCCCCCCCCCCTTCTAGGGGGTGTAGATGGCTCTCCATAACAGTGACCCTAAAATGACCCCAGGGTCTGCTGCTGTGGTGGTTGTGGTGCAGAAAGGGAAGGACCCAGTGCCCTAAACTGGTCACGCCCATCACGGGCCAGTCAGGGTGTGCTGTGGTTCGTGGAGGGACGAAGGTCTCCATCTGGGCCAAGGGCAAAGGGGAGGGGCGAAGTTTCCACTGCATTCAGTGCAAGGGGGAGGGGGCGTTCACCAGCTGGCTGACCGGCCCACGATGTGTATGGGGGAGAGGGGCGGGGGGGTCAGGACACTGCCTTACTATCATGGGTGGGAACCACCCCAGTGATGCCCCTGGAATTTTGGGCTGGGGGAGGGCCCTGGGGAGCAGTATAGGGAAGGGCTCAGGAGGAGACCAGGGACCCAGAGCACCCACAAAGCTTCACGGGTGACTCCAATGACGGGGGCCACGTTCCTACTCTGACCACAGGTTCTCCTAGGCTGTGGTCCTTGCAGAGGCAGATCACCAGGTCTTTCTTCCTGTGAAATGCTGGCCAGCCCAGCACTTCACCATGGCGCCACCGGTCATATAACATGGAAATTCTGGAACCTTCTCCACCTGATCCATAGCACCGTCAGCACCAAGCAAGAGGAGGGCCTTGGGACCATCTGTGCATCCACCCGCCCCAGGTTGGGCCAGACCCCAGAGTGTTCAAGAGCCTTTAATTCATAGGACCTGAGGTGGGGGCAAGGTACATCAGGGCTCCCAGTATCTGGGGGGACAGTGTGCTGAGCCCAGGCAGTACTGGGGAGGGGCCACTCTGCCTCCTGTTCCTCCAGCATGGACAGCACTTCCCAGTGACAAGGACACAGTGGTGGACCTCCTCCTGCCCAGGTGACTCCCGGCTAAATGCCCCTTTCACCATGAGAGAGACAACCCCCCACCCCAGATTTACGTTCACACCGTGTTTCTGAACTCTCCTCTCTGGTCCGGCAACTGATAAAACGCCCTTTTTAGTATTTTTCATTTACGCACACTTCTCCCTTCAGTTACCCCCAGGGACAGAGAGGGTGGGGAGGGGAAGGGGATGCTGATGTGGACTAGCAGGGAAACCTCGAGCCGAGATCCTGTGGGGTCAGAAGACACTATACTCATCCTGTTGTCACCAAGGGCCCTTTAATACATTCATGAATTCAACCCTCATCTTCAGAGCCCCCCCCTACCCCCCCACACACATGGAGCATGCTCTCCCTCCCTCTCTAACTCATGGTTCACGCCACACAGGGTGTTGGGTTTAGAGGGGACCCCCAACATGACACCAGAGCTGAGGGCACATAGGCAGTGACCCCAGTAGCCAAGGACAGGCTTGGTTCAGGAAAAGGCAGGTTTGGGCCCTGTGGTGGTCCCCATACCGCAAGTCTTGCCCACTGGCCAGGCCCCTCCATAGACAGACAGCACCCACACGGGGGGAGGGGGGACCCCTCATCTGGAAGGCCTCTCAGAAGCACCTCTTGGCACTGCAGACACTTGGTCTGGACAGAAGTGCTCCTACCAGAGGCCTCGGCTGGGCAGTGATTCCCACCAGGCAAAGAAGCAAAGCATCAAGCCAGTGGGAAGAGAAAGTGTTTATTTTGCAAAGGCGTGAGCGGCAGGGCCGCAGGCCCACTGGCCGCCCACACAGGGCCAGCCACCAAAGCGCCGGTGGCCTCCTTGGACCAGGTTGTGGGGACGCACTGGTGCAGCGTGGACAAGGGAAAGTCCAGAGCGAGGCCAGGCAGGTACTAGGGTCCTCGCCAGGAACCCTATGCTGCCTGGCCCATAGGTCCCAGCCAGCCAGATAGCCATAGCCACCTGCTGGCCGCTCGGCTCCTGCCCATCTGCTGGCAAATAATAGTTTAAAACAACAACAAACAAAAAACAAGGAGATGCGATCACACGGATCCCAGTTCTGAGAAAAAGAACGTTTGGAGAAGTGGGAGGGGGTCTATTTTGTTTAAAGCCACAGATCTTAGAAAACAACTTTGGGGATTTTTTTCCCTTTTCTCCATGTTCCATGTTTCCTCGCCCTTTTTTTTTTCTTTGTTTTTTTAACAATATGTATTTATAGAAAGAACTTCACAAAGGTGATCTATGTACACAGTCACCAATCCGCAGTCGCTCAGTAGGCAACGTGGTAGCACCTTTTCGAGAAGAGCTTTTCGGGGTTCAGGATCTGAGGAGCTGAGGCGGGCGGCGCGGCCCCGGCCGGCCCTGCTCCCTGAGTCCAGCCGCGCTTGCCCCGTCACTGCCGGTCACAGCACAGAGGGTTCCGCGGCAGAGGTGGCCTCTGGGGCCAGGAGGGAGGCAAGGCCCAGGTCCCCAACAGGCAGGCACTGGGCCACCACCTCCTTCCCGGGGGCTGGGCGGCCATGCTGGGCTGAGAGGTTGAGGGTGAGTGGACACCAGCGGGAGCTCTAGAAGGTTCTAGAATGGGGTTCCGGGCCCACCCTGGGCCTGCAGCAGGCTCTCCATGAAGGCCAGGTAGTCCGGGCTCTGAGCCGCGTCCTCCGTGGTGGTGGTGGCGGTGGCGCGTGGGGCCCCAACTCGCGGGCGCTTAGCAGCCTTCACCTCCTCCCCTGAGAAGGCGTTGTCCTGGGGTGCCCCTGTGCTGACCGACTGTGGGGACCAGACAATATGCAGGTTAGCGGGGCCTGGTCCAAGGCCCACACAGTACAGGCAGTTGACTGCTGGGGGGCGGGGAGGGCACAGATAGACGTGCAGGAGGGGGCTCCACACTCCACCACTGGCTCCGCTGGGAGGGATGGACGGATAGACAGGTTGCTTTCTGAAGGACAAGGAGCCAAGGAGCAGAGCAGGCTGAGGGTCTCCCCCTACTCTCCCTTCCGCTGCCCTGCACCACCACTACCCCCACCAGTCTAGGACAAGAGGGAACATGAAGGAGCCAAGGAGAACACGCCCACATCTGCTCCACCGCTCTGTATGAGGAAGAAGGGGTACACCCCCACCCCCGCCCCCTAGCATCCTCAGCGCCTCCTCCTGTGTGGAATGGGGGTGACAGGCAGAGAGGACAGAGTGGCCAAGCTGGAGGAGACTGGGCAGGCGAAGTTAGTTCCGGTGAAATGTAAGCCCCAACATCCGCTTCCATGAGGCCCAGCCCTGTGGCCACTCACCAGCCTCGACCGGACCCTCTTGGGCAGCTCCTCCTCCAGAGTGTAGATGTCACCGCGCTTCACAGTCAACTGGGACCCATCCTCAAACTCCACCTGTGGGAGAGGGAATGTGGGTTATAGAAGGATGCTGCGGCCCCTCAGTCCTCTCCGCCGGGAAAGACCGGCACAGCCGTACTGCCCGAGAAGCCCACCTGGAGCCCTAAGACATCAAGGGCAGCTTGAGATGCTGGGTCTAGCTGTACCTGAAGCCAACCTGAGTCACTGAAGTCATATGCCCAGTTGGGTGAGTGGTGGGGAGGCAGTCCTGAGGCCGAGTGGTGTTCTAGGGGACATGCGTGCTGCTGTCAACAGGCTCAGGGGGAAGGGCTTTCCCACTGCTCTAGGGGCTTTAGCCCAGCCTCTTGGAAGCCCTGGAGAATACTGAGTGAGGGGGGCCACACAAGTCTCCAGGTGGGTTCATGCTACCATCTGGGACCATTGCGCCAGGTCTCTCCTTCCATCTGATCCACAGCAAGGGCAGAGGCTGGAGCCTGCTGCAGTCGGAAGGCCAGAAGCCTGGTCTGCAATTCCCAGCCCAGAAGCAAGGACAGGCGGCTGCCCTTGACTGCCCCAGTGGTAGATGAGGAACCGAGGGCCTGTCCCCAGGAGCTTTTGGGGTTGTGGGTGGCCTGGGGTGCTGGACTGTGCAATGGGGATCATCTGGGCAGAAAAGACCCTTCATCTGTACCCCTTGTTCTCCTCCCCACAGATGGCCAGCCCATCAGGTCCTGACCCAGAAGGTTCCCCTACCGGAGGGCTGAGTCCCAGAGGTGCAGGGTGTGCGTGTGGGGCGGAGCCCACCTCCAGCCAGGGCGCTGTACCCGGCTGGATTTCTCCCCCAGTTCCGGCTGGCGCTACACCCCAGAGAAGCAGGCTCCCAGGAATAGAGTGAGTTCTAGAAACCCAGGAAATAAGCTCAGGTTTCTAGGTCAGAAAGACCAGAGAGATCCGTTCTAGAATCTCCGGAGGAAGAAGCGAAACTTCATGAGGGGTTAGCGGTAACGTCCTGTTCGGTCCCAGTGACTTGCTGAGGGGCTCGGGATCTCTGGTGTTCCATTCAAGGCGAGAGACTGGAGCTGAAAGTTACACTGGTCCCCTCCACAGAATCCCACTGTGAACTTCCAAGGGCTAGGGACTTTATGCTGCATTTTAAACATTTTGCTCTGAGATGACCGGGGGTCTTGCTCGTGCCAGAACTTTCTGGAGAAATGGGGTGAGCATGAGGATCTCATGGCTCTAAAACCCCCCAGGAACTTCAGGAGCGGAGCCTGTCCACGTGGTCCTCTGGGGGTGGGCTCGTGTGTGGTCAGCCGGCCTCCTCCAGAGTATCCTTGGCCAGGTCCCTTGCTGGGCCACATGAGAGTGTGCCACACAGCTCCACAGCTGCCCCCACCAGGCAAGCCTATGGCCTCCTTTGGGACCGTGAGGTACAGAGGCCCCCACCATCTTGCAGGCATCCTGCCGGCGACTACTACAAAGTTCATTTCTAGAAACATGACCAGTTTTCTTGTAGAACTGCCCATGCTGACTCCCTGATGTCCTGTGCCAGGGACGCACCTCTGAGGATACGAAATGGTCTTAACGTTTAAACTGCCCGTGATGGCCTCTGTTAGCTCTGTTTTGTCAGGGGTCTGGTGTCACGAGTGAATTGTCTGACAGGCGGTAACTGGCTGCTTCAATCTGATTCTTTAAGGCATGTACAGCCCCCACCCAAAGGTCCAAGCAGGGTATTTGCTGATTTACCCCGTTTGTATCACTCTCCCGGGTTTCCTGAGGGAGGTGGAGACACTAGCCAGCACTGTCTGACTTCACTTCTCCAAGGAACTCACCACAGGTCCTATGACAAGCCCGGCCATGACATCTCTCATGCGGGTGCTAGGCTCATCCACACCTCACCAGACTGCTTCTCCACGGGAGGGTACTGAGGAGATAGAGGGCTGCCCCACTATGCCATTGGATTCAGGGTCCCTCACGGAAGAGACGAACAATATTCTGGCGCCTGTTTGTAAAGGCGCAGTATCAAGATGGTGCCGTGCGTGAGAACGCTGTGTCGAGCTAGTGTCCTTTCAGAAGGCCTTCCTGTGCCTGATAGACCTGCAGTTCATTCTGCCCCAGAGGGTCTCAGCTGTCATCCCTACGGGAGACATCCCTGGGGCACAATGGCTATGCACTGAGCTGGTAAGTGGAAAGCGGGCGGTTTGAACCACCAGCAGCTCCTCGATGGGGCAGTCCTGCTGTGTCTTCTGGGGTCGGAAGGGGCAGGGTGACAGTGGATCCAGTTCTCAGTCTTCACAGGCCCCTTCTGAGCAACCACCATGAACCTTTCCATTCACAGCAGAACGCTTAACTGCAGCGCCACCAGGGTCCTTACAGCCCTCTAGGAACAGCGCCAGCCCTTCTGGTTGTAATGGAAGCTGTCCGGCTGGGGGCCTCTCCCTGGCCTGCCCCGATCACGTGCCACTGGTCCAGTCCTGGGGGTCAGGCTGCGCCCATGTGGATCCAAAGGCTGAGCAGGATTTTAGGTCTATGAGGGTAGATGGAGCCAACATCTGGCTAGGAGCTCCCCACAGTGAGCAGGAGGGAGAGCCAGAGATGGGCCACACTGGGGACTGTCCCCTTCCCAGAATGGAATTCAGTCACGCCAGGTACAGTGGAGCTCATTCCTACTCATGGGAACCCCCTGGGTCGGAGGAGAACTGGGCTCTACAGGATTTCCATGGGCTCAATTTTATAATGTGGATCACCAGGCCTTTTTTCTGAGGTGCCTCTGGATGAATCTGAACTACAGATGTTTTGCATCACAAACCCCCTGCCCCCTAGGATGTGGCTAACTGTTCTAAAATTCTACATTTAAAAATAATTTCTGCACTGACCAGATGTGATTCCTACATCTGGGAAATTCCCACAACCATCTATACTCTAAGGAAACCCTTCAAACGTAGACCATCATATGACTCTGGTCACCACCCCATCTTCACAGGTATGAAGCCTGTGGAGAAGTCTGCAGGAAGCTCCGGCCACCTGGGCTGTGACCCCACCTGACAGACATGACTGGTCACTGAGGAGATGAACTTGGCCTTGTAGATGTTGCCGTCTGCCCACCGGAGCTCCACAAAGCTGCCCTCGGGCGGGGGTCCCAGGCGGATGCAGTCTCTACTCTGCAGACAGAGGAGCTGGGTGAGGGCTGGATCAGAGCCTCCCCACCCCCTGCCCCAAGTCACCCAGCAGGCGGATGACCCAAGATGGGGAGGCCCTGGGAGGGGGCTCTGCAGAATCCCCCTCTCCTCCTCCACTCTCTGCCCCCCTCCACACCCCCACCCCGAGCTCACGGTGATGCTCTCTGGGTATAGGTTGTCGCTGTAGGATCCATCGTCGAAGTTTACTTCGTAGCAGGTCTGTGTGGCAGCACCAATGACACGGCAGCGGTAGTAAAGCCCGTTCCGGTTCTTGGTGATGACCATCTGACCCAAGTTCACGGCCCGCAGGAAGTGCCCCTGGATGACAGCACAGGGCAGCCTTCAGAGGGGCAGGGCGGGGGCGGAGTGGGGCGTGGCAGGGGGGCGGGCTGGCACTCACCGTGTGGGCGCCCGCCTTGTGCTTGAAGCAGGTGATGGACACAACGTAGGGCCAGTCATCGGGCTCCATGAGGACCCCCGCCGCGTGTGCACACGTCACGTGGAAGGATGTGGAGCAGTGCTCGTAGGAACACTGGATGCAGGCGCCTGACACCCGCTTCATACGCTTCCGGCAGTACACACACTTCTGTTGGGAAAGGCAGTAGGTGGAGACAACAGCCAGAAATGTGGCCCCCAGGGGCTCCAGGCCATCTAGAGGCCTAGACCCTCCAAGACCCCACACCCCCATCCTGGGACAGGCATCCTAGAAGAGCATTGGAGCCCTCCAGCCGTGCCTCCAGCTGCACATGTTGTACCTGGGTCCCCGCCACCCAGAGGCTGGGACCCCAACTCTGGAGTTAGTCCTGACACAGGAAGTCAGCCCACCCCACAGTGTGCTCTGGGAAATGGATGTCACAAAAAGCCATGTCCGTGTGAAATGTCTACAGCAGATAAACGTAGACACAAAGTGGATTTGTGGGAACCCTTGTGGTGCAGTGATTAAAGCGCTCTGCTGCCAACTGAGACCTGGGCAGGAGGAGCCACCAGCTGCTTTCATCCAGATGACAGCCCCTCCAGGGGCTGAGCAGGAAGTCATTCAGTAACAGTGGTTGGTTGTGCAATGGTTAAGGACATGGATGCTAACCGAAAAGCAGACCGTTTGAACTCACCCAGAGTGCAGAGGAAGAAAGGCCTGGTGACCTGCTTAGGCTGGCAATCAACTTGAGGACAATCAACAACAACAGAGGCTGGGCAAGGAGGGGAGTGACTATTGTTGGGCCCGAGGCTTCTTTTTTGGGAGATAAGAATTAGGGGTGAGGGCTCCCGAACTCTGTGAGATTATTAAAAACTCCCTAATAACACACTTTGAAATGGTTAAGATGGTGGTGTTTATGTGATGTCAAATTTATATCAAGAAAGAAAATAAAGCGGTTAGAGCAACCCCCTGAGAGCAGGTGAGGCCCCTGCCTGGGGGGGTGCAGAGAGCTGGGTGCAGGGCAGGGGTCTGAGGAGGCTGCAGGCAGGTCTTACCTTCCCTGCAGGTCTTCCCCCGGGCCCCCCGAGGCTGTCACCCTGAGCATTTAATAAGCAGGGCTGTTATCGCTCCATAAACCGTGTTCAAAAGGCAGATAAGCAGCTTCGCAAAGGGCGCTGTAGGAACCGAGTGCCGGAGGCCGATCGAAGGCAGAGCGAGCTCATTATTAAACTGTCAATACCTAATTCTCCCGCAGCAGGGACGGTGCTGATGTACAACACGCCTGAACAGAGCCAGGCGTTAACCCTCACCAGAGGGGAGCCGATTGAGCCTGGCAAGGCTGAGACAGCGGTAAGCGGCCACCTCCCTCTGAGGGCAAAAGGTGCCTGACACTGGGTAGGGGAAGAGTAACAGGAGTTAGGATCCACAAGGAGGTACTGGAGAAAAGATGGGCAGAGCTTCCAGAAACTTCCAGAGACACTCGGAATCCCAGGAGAAACCTGATGCTCAGGCTTGAGTGGTCATTGCAGCATGATGCCCACATGTGTGTCCAGTATGGTCCATCCTGGGTGCCCACAACGTGCACCAGGTCCTCCCATGTGGCCGATCCGGGAGCTGCCTCCGCTGGGAGATGGGGTCCCCAGCGACATCCACGTAGGGCCCTGGGCTGCAGGGTCTGGGGGGGCCGCAGGGTGACGTCTGCTGCAGAGCTCCTAGGCCTCCATGGCCAGCATGTCCGGGGTCCTTCTGTCACCCTTGAGGGGCCTTGTCTACTTCAGTGCACCGAGATGTCAAGGTCGTTGGAGGGTGGCATCTGTGGAATGCACTCTGGGAGCCAACTGTGACCAGTCTCACTGCACACGCCCATCTGGGTACGTGGCTGCCTCCACCTGCCTGGTAAATAGCTGCAGTGTCCGAGGGTGGCAGGGATGCTGGACCTGCAGGGGTCCCAAGCCACAGAGCAGGGCTGTCAAATGGGAAAGGGGGCCCAGCCGCCCTTCATGCCCCGTGGGGCCAGTGCAGCACCGAGCGGACCTGAGTCCCAACCCAGGAAGCTTCTGGACTGCTCAGCCAGCTGCCAGGACCCAGTCCAGTCTAGCACAGTGGGCAATCCTACCTGCTGTCTAGCTGGTTTGGTTAGGGGTTGACCCCTCCCTGCTCCTGTCTAACCCAGCAGGCCGCTGACCTGACAGGTGACAGGAGTGGTCGTCTCAGGCTGAGGCCCTCTGGCCCCAGGCAGGCAGGAGTTAAGTGCTGCTTACTCGCTGCTCGTGAGTCTCCATTAAGCAGTACAAGTGGGCCTTGTGTAAAAGGAGCTTTAATTCATTGTTACAAGGGCTGGTAATGAAGAGCTGCATGCCGCAGATGTCAGCTGATCCAGAGCGTGCGGGGAGGAGGTTTACCATCACCCTACCGCACTCAAGGCGCCGGGCCCAAGCCACCACCTGCCTGACCATTCGGACCCTGTGCCCCCACATCACGGGTTTCCCCGCTGGCAACTCGAGCCTGGTACAGGTGGCCCTACACCTGTGGGCTCTGAGCTTGGCACCCAGAGCCCCATGCCTGGGCCATACTGGGGAGGGGGCTTGCGTTCTGTGGTGGGGTGGCCCCAGGCTGCCCTGTGTCTCCTGCAGGTCATGGCTGAGGGACCAGGGTGACGAAACTCAGTCCCGAGGCTCTAGAGGCCACACCAACTGGGCCTGCACACACACCAGGTCTGAGCCTCCGCCAGCACCTGCCTTTCGCACCTTCCTGGTGGGAGGCCCAGTTTCAGAGTGGAGCTGCAGGCAGGGGTGAGGGGCTGCCGAGTGTGCCCAGGAAGGGAGCTGCTTCCTCCAAGCCCAGCTCCCCTGCCTACTGGCTCTCAGTGTGGATCAGGTGCAACATTGTGGGCAGGTGGCTGGAACCTCAGCAAAGAGCTGCAGGGACAGTAGACTCCCAAGGCCACCTCAAACGCTCACTGCAGCCGGCAGAGCAGGGACAATGAGGGCAGGGAGGTAGGCACTAGCCCCTGACGTCTGCAGCCGGCATGCAGGGCCCCCAGGAGGCAGGCTGGGTGAGAGCCACCTGCACTGCAGTCTGAGAACCTGAGCCACGCCTGCAGACGTCTACACGCCTCATGCCCCACAGAGCAGCGTGGAGACAAACAAACAAGGGGTCAGCCCTCATACTGAAAAAGGCCAGAACTGGTAAATATTGCCAGCAAATTGTTGCCAAACCTGCTCTGCTCAAAAACTGAAATGCCTGAATTTTACAGTATTAAATGACCAGCAGCTCCACTCACTGGAACGAAAGCTTTATATCATACATGCACACTTCATGCCTTCATGACACCAGCATATTAAGATGTTGCTGTTGAGTCTGACTCATAGCCACCCTGTGCACAACCGAAGCAAACCCTGTCCGATCCTGCACTCTCCTCACACTTGTTACGCCTGAGCCCACTGCTGCTGTCACTCTGCCCGTCCATCTCGCTAGAGGTCTTCCTCTCTACCAAGTATGAAGTTCTTCTCCAGCAACTTGTTCCTCCCAATAACATGGCTGAAGTGTGAGAGTTGAAATCTCCCCATCCTGCTTTCTAAGGAGCACTCTGGCTGCACTTCTTCCAACACAGATTTGTTTGTTCTTCTGGCAGTCCATGATCTTTCTATATTCTTCACTAATACTATAACTCAAAGGCATCAATTCTTCTATAGTCTTCCTTAGTCACTGTGCAACTTTCACATGCATATGAGGTGATTAAATACCATGGCTTGGATCAGGCGCACCTTAGTCCTCAAAGTGACATCTTTGCTCTTGATCACTTTAAAGAGGTCTTGTGCAGCAGATTTGTCTAGTGCAATAGTCGGTTGATTTCCTGATGGCTGTTTCCTTGAGTGCTGATTGTGGAGCCAAGAAAAACAAAGTCTTCGATAACTTCAATCTTTATCTCCATTTATCCTGATGTTATTTATTGGTCCAATGGTGAGGATTTTTGTTTTCTTTACATTGAGGTGGTCTTTACTGAAGGCAGTAGTTTTTGATCTTCATCGGTTAAGTGTTTTAAGTCCTCTTCATTTCCAGAAAACAAGGTTTGTATCATCTGGATATTATAAGTTGTTAATGCCATATTCGTCTTCATATAATCCAGCTTCTTGGATCATTTGCTCAGCATACAAACGGAATCAATTTGGTGAAAGAATACAACCCTGGTGCACACTTTTCCTGATTTTAAACCAGTTGGACTCCCTTGTTCTGTTTGAATATTACACATATTAAGGAATGCTCATAAAGCAGTCCAGCTTCCTATGCAATGGTTTGGAAAGATTCTCTAAGACATATTGTTATGTGACAAAGAGTAAGATACAGGACAGAGGACGCAGTGTGCACGATTTTGGTAAAAGAGATAAAACCATAAATCTGTATCTGTCCTTTAATGTATGTGCCTAAGGAAATCTCTAAGTACACATACAGGGAGGGGGAGGGGCACAGAGGCCTGGGGAGGAGCAGAAATGGAGCAAATGGAAGGTAAAAGGAAGATTTTTAATTGTGTAGTACTTGAATTTTTAAAAAAATCTTTGAACCATGTGAATAAAATAAAAAACTCAACTCAGGAAAAAAAAAAAAAAAAAGAGGGGTCAGAGAAGGACCCGAGAGCCACTGCCCTTAACACACAGGCAGGGGCCCGGCCTGGCTGCTGGGGTGCACAGGGATCTGAGAGCGACCCTTCTGACCGTGCCCCAATATCAATGTTTGTCAAAACTAACATCCGCGCATCTGCTTCCCGCTGAGGCCCTGGTTCTTGGAGGAGCCCAGCTGGTTGCTGAGAGGAAAGCACGCATGGACTGGACAGAAGGAGTGGCTGCGGCCGCGGGGACTCACCAGCTTCCACCGCTGCTCTGGGATGGCGCTGATGTCCACAGGATGGCGCTCCATCACGTTCAGGAACCGGGCCTCAGGGACGGCAATGGCGCAGATCACATGGATCCACCTGGGGGCGGGGAGATATAGGTGCTAGAGGTGTGCCCCTCCTGGACACTCGAGGACCCATCACCCCAGTGCAGCAGGTGTGGTAGTGTGTCCACCCCCACCATCCGATTAAGCAGTGTGGTCCAGGCAGTCACTGTCTTTCATCCCCGGCCACCCTGGGGCAGTCACATGGTGACAGTAGGCAACCACTGATTCTCACCACCCCCACCCCACCCCCCGGGAGACAGGGTGGTTCAGAGTTGGGGCCACACCCCTGGTAAGAAGGGAGCCGGGGTGCTGACCCAGGGCAGGGCCTCCGAAGGCTCACCCACCTCCTGTCAGTGGTCATCTGCAGCGCTCCGCCCCGGAGATTGCAGAGGCAGCACTCCTGTGGGGGACACACACACACCGCGTGAGGGGGGCCCACCCACGTCTGCCCCAGGTCCCCTTCCTCCCCACAGTGGGACAAGAATTACCGCAGTCCAGGCGTGGGCCGTGCACCGGGAGCACGTCCAGCCTTCGTTGACCAGTTCGGGGCGGATGCCATAGCAACCTGAAAGATAGGATGGGGGTCAGAGGAAGGCTCAGGTCAGACTCCGAGGGGTCGGGGAGACCAAGCCTCCAGGCTCTGAGCGGGCAAATGATGTAACACTGGCATGCAGGACCACTCTCCCAAGCGCCAAGCGCCAATCTTCTGGGCAGTTTTCTGAGGAGTATGGCCATACGGCCAAGGAAATAGGGTGATGGGTCATTTTAAGTGTCAGCTTGGCTAGACCATGGTCCTCAGCAGTTTGTAATGACTCTCCTTTTGTGGCTTGCATCCACACACATTAAGTGTCTACCAAAAACTCGCTCTCCTGGTCCTGCAGCTGGCTCGTCATCACCTGACCTCCAGTTCTTAGGATGTGAGCCAGCAGGCAGCCAACCGACCTGCAGATTTTGGGTTTGTCAGCCCTGTAACCACTTGAGTCAGAAGATGCCTCCACCTTGACAAGTGATCCATGGAAAGTGTCTGCTTTCTCAATTGTGTAAGCTGTTTCCTTCAAGTAGATCTACCTATCTACCTACCTACCTATCTCATCTGCTACCTACCTATCTACCTACCTACCTATCTCATCTGCTA